AAATGACTTCTTTTTTTTTTTGGGAGAAGTCAATTTCTAACGGGCTTTTGCGGCCCGGCTCACAAAGCCCGCGGACTAGGGTTCATGCAACCATAGCCGGGCCACGTGGGTTGGAGGGCCCTGCGGGTCGGCCCATGTGTTTTTTTTCAAAGTTAAAAAAGAAAAGTAAAGTCTACAAATATTAACATTGTTAATTTGCAATCCAACTTTAAAGTTTAACAAAAATTAATATTATTTCAAAGTTTAAAAAAAATAATTAAAGTCTACAAATAATATTAATTTTTTCATATTTAAAATTTTAAAAAATTACATTTTTTAAAATGTTAATATATATATATATATATATATATATATATATATATATATATATATATATATATATATATATATATATGGATGCACTCAGGTACGAATAAGTGTCCAGGAAGGAATATGCGAACGAATCAGCGCGCGACACGTGTCCAGATCTAATAGCTTAAAAAATGCGGTGACATTTTCGTAAATATTGAACATCCAAGTGCAAGTAAAATCACTTACAAGTGCACCTACTTTCACCTATATGTGCATATAATTTTGCCTTGTTAGCATTCATTTCCCGCAAACATTCATGCACCTGGGTGTGTTTATAACTATAGGTGCAACTATTTATAACTATAGGTGCAACTACTTATAACTATAGGTGCACTTACTTTCACCTATAAGTGCATGTAATTTTGCATTGTTAACATTCATTGATATGAGTTCAGCGGATAGTAATATCGCTGAAAACCACCCGCAAACATTCATGCATCTAGGTGCAACTACTTATAACCATTTGTGCAACTACTTATAACTATAGGTGCAACTACTTATTATTATAGGTGCACTTAGTATTGATGCTCAGTGTAAATTTTTACTTGCACCTATATAATACATTTTACATGCACTTGTAATACATTTTACTTGCACTTCGATGTTCAATTATTTACGAAAATGCCACCGCGCTTTTTTTAAAAAATCAGTGTTTATCATCCATTAGATCTGGACACGTGGACGGACATAATCCATTCCTATTTCGCTCCTGGGCGAAGCATTCACATATGCGTGCGATTCTATATATATTCGAATGCCATAAAAATTGCCTGTGGGCTAAATTTTTACGCATAATAAATCTATCAAGGCTGAATAGTGGAAACCTAATGGGTACGATTTGGATTTGGTTTTCCCATCCTTAATGATAAAACTACCAAACTATATGCCGATTCATAATCCCTGTGGGCAAATTGTGATCATAGTTTAGTATTTAATACCAACTGTAAGCAAATAAATCACGTAGGAACATAAATACGTGATATGATCTTATTAAAGTACTAAGTACTAACCTCGAGCCATAGCTTCTGATTGATGAAGGTTGTATAGATACGAGACTGCTGCGGCAGAATAACAGTATATGTTTCTCTCACTTTCTCAACCCTCTCTAGATGGCGTATGAGGAATGAATGTTAAGCAGTGAGAGGACTAGAGGGCTCTTTATATAATAACAATATGCCATCAATATGGTAACTGAACCCCTTCCTAATCATACTTCTTATCTTTACAATCAAGCATTACCTTAATTATTAGAAGTATGTACGAAAGAGTTGCACCACATAACATATTACCTTTAATTATTAAAACTTTGACTTAATAATATATATATATATATATATATATATATATATATATATATATATATATATATATATATATATATATATAGGGGTGATCACATGTGGCCATGTTGTTAGGTGTGGTCATATGGTCAATTATAGGCTATTAGATTAGATAGATCCAATGAATCATATTATCAAGATTTTTTTCAGTATTTTCGCGCACATTCTCTTACCCAGCGAACTGCATGGGTAAACTCGTCATAAAACACCGGAATAAGGAAAATCACATTGTTGTGTGTTTTATTACAGTATTGGTGCATGTTGTCAACACTGTTGGTGTATTCTAGAACCCGACCGCTATAAATGACCACTGTAATTACCATAACACGGGAATACACCATTGGTGTTTTTCATTGTGGTGTGTTTTATTACACTGTTGGTGTATGTTGTCAACATTGTTGGTGTATTATGGAACCCGCCCGCTATAAATGGCCACTGTAATTACCATAACACCCCCACTTACCAAAATGCGCGAAAATCCTAAGAATTACCACTGCCGTTAGATTAAACTGATTCAACGACACAGATACGACCACACCTAATGACATGACCACATATGAGCGCTCTTCTATATATATATATATATATATATATATATATATATATATATATATATATATATATATATATATATATATATATATATATATATATATATATATATATATATATATATATTAGGGCTTAGCCTGTAGCTCGCACGGGCTGCAGGTCTTAGCGGGCTAGGCCCGTTAGGTCAACTATTTTGTGGGCCTTTTTTTTTTTTTGTGATCTTAACCCGCGAAATTTATAATATATTATACGTTCAATTGATTTTTTTTTTTAAATGGGACGCGCGTTTTTAGTCAAAACGACGTCGTTTTGCAATCGTGTGCACCATGCATGGTGTACACGGTTGCACAACATAACTATTGCATAAGATCAAGGTGGTGAGTGAGACTGAAAAAAATTTAAATGATAGTGTACACAACAATCATATGTATCACTATGACATAAGAATATTGCTAATTGTTTAGATGTTGGTGGTTACAATGAAACGAGATTTTGGGAGAATGATATAAAAAAATTTGGTGAACGTTTTTGCGTCTAAATGTGGGCATGTCACTATTTAAGTGAAATTTTAAATGTATTTTTTATATAATATTTCTATTTTGAGATTTTGTCACAATTTTTTAAACAACTATTATTTATATATACTAAATACTTGAAAAGGGCCCAAATTAAGATATTGAACAGGACCCCTGATTTTATTGGAACGGCCCTGTTGGTTCACACATGGAATTGGAATCAGAATGGGTTGGGAATCAAATACTTGGTAATGGTAATAAGTTTTGGTGAAAGTATTTTTCATGTTTGGTATTAGAGTTGAATTAAAATGATTACAAATATTGATGTTTTGTTTTGTATCGCTTGATAATAAATGTTTTAAAAATACAAAAATAAAAAATCAAGGCAATTGAACCTAATATAATGACATCCAAAGCATCAATATAAAAAAAAAAAATCAAAACAAAAATCTAGAAGTACTAATCTAAACTTAAAAATTAGATTACCAAGATGGAATGATACCTTTTTTAATTGGGGAATGAGACTTTTAATTGAAGGGGTAACTCAAATCCTTAGTTGTGTTTTAAAAAATTGTCAAGCAAATACTAACTATGATTTTAATCGGGTAATTATATCCTGCACCACGGCGTGCATTGCATTGTGTCCTGTCTAGAATACAACCTAGGATCCTTGGATTTATTCACTGCATGATTGCCTAAAACCTCAAAGCTGCAACTCTTCACGATCTCCCCCACCTTCTAATTCTCTTCAACTCCAAATCGACACCCCAAAAAGTCGGTCAATCTTTTTACCACATGATCGTAGTAAGGCCCGAAAGGGAAGACCCCCTTGCAGAAGCTCCCGAGGGCCTCTTCCAATGGCCACGCCTCTTCCTCGGCCTCCTTATTCTGCTCATTCTCGAAATGCCACATCGAGTTCAAGGTATCTTTTGGATTCCTACAGGTCACATAAACCACCCGACTGTCCGAGGTTTCTAGGGTTGTTCTTAGCATCTGATCTGATAGGGAATATGCGTGCCGAAAACCCTCCTACCACTACCAAACTCGGCATTATTATTATCATCTAACCATTTCGACAATTCCTTTTCTTTGTACACTTGAAGTTCCAGTAAGGGGACGAGGTCGTGGGGATTATGTTCCTGAATTAGAGATGAGCGGTTGACAATGGAGAACACCAGAGATTTGAGCTATGTCGTGCCGGTTTTCGGTAAAGAAGCTAAGATAACATCGTCTTGGCGTGGTTCGAACTCGTTGAGAACACGTTTAAAGCCGGAGACATGTTCGGGGAGGAACCAGAAGCCATTGATTATATATTAAATATTATATGGCTCGCGAGCGGCTCGACGAGTCACGAGCCTATAATATCTAGGCTTGGCTCGAGCTCGATTACTAAACGAGCCGTTCGAGCTCGGCTCGAGCTCGATTTTGACTGAGATCGAGCCGCTCGCGAGCTGCTCGGCTTATTTACAGCCCTAAATGAGAATGAAGAGCATGACCCCCTATTAAATTGGAAGAAGAAAAAATGAGTGGATATTATCATGATCCCCTATTAAATTGGAATTATAAACAGGAATGGAAAATCTAAGATTGGTGGATACGAGAAATGCGTATATGAAATAGACCCTGGAGAAGGAAATACGACATTATGGAGACCGATTATCTGACTATTGAAATTCGGACTTTGGTAGTCCGAATATTTTAATTTTTTTTTTGTTCTTTTTTGTTATTCCCGATTCTTTTATGCAGAAATAAATGGACACAAATAATGATAACTAATCAAATTTAGCAATACTGAAATTTGGACTATGATAGTCCGAATATTTTCAATTTTTTTTTGGTTCATCCCGATTCTTGTTTGTGGAAACAAATTGACACAAATAATGATAACTAATCAAATTTAGCAATAATTTGGTTGATTTGATTAAAATTAAAAAATTATGATTGTAACAGAATTCGGACACCAATAATCCAATTAATATATTTTTTTTTGTTCTTCCCACTTCATGTTTGCGGAAATAAATGGACTCCCAAATAAGAAGAAGGTTCATGGTCAGTATGTACAAGGTTCATGCTCAGTATGTAGAATGTCCATACTTCATATCATAATTACAATTTAGATGAAAAATTTGGATAATTATAAATAGAAACAAAGCATTATTTTATTGATGATTCAAAGTAGGACAGTGCGGGGAAGAATGAGTTGTCCTCCGACAATACTTACATCTTCTACTTCGATTTGAACCTAAGTCCATTTCATTTGGATACCTACGTGTTCGTCGTTGGCCTCGTTGATTTGGTTGCCTAGCAGAAATTGGTGGAAGGCAAGTAACTGGACCGGTACACACTGAGTTCTTTCGTCTACTGGGTAGAAATTTCCGGCATAACAGTTCCTGTAGTTTTGTACGGAGTAAACTTCTGGCACTAATGGGGCAAATCCTTGCCCACGGTAATTGCATGCTGCAAGCACATGTGCACATGGTATGCCGTTCACGTTCCACAATCCGCAGTTACACGTACGTTTCGTCAGGATAACTTGAAAGTGATTTTGTTGACTTTGAGAGACACAACCAGTACTTAGGGCAACACCATAGATTCCGAGGGCGTCATTGAAACGTTGAATGCTTGCACCACTTGCTTCATTGTTTCGAGCTGACAAATCATCGGTAATCTTTTTCGTGAAAAGCAGTCTGTGTTGCTGCATCCCATCTCCCGCAGTACGCCTGTCGGCAAACATAGTCCGTAACTTGTGAAAAGTCATTCGGACTATTGCCGTGACATGTAACATTCGACAACACTTTAGTGAATTATTTAGTGACTCAGATGGATTGGTTGTCATGATGCCGTACCGGTGACCATCGTCATGAGATAATGTCCACTTCTCTACATCAATGTTAGCAAGATAGGCGTATGCAGCTGGCCATTTAATTTGGATTGCCTGCATGTGTTGAAGGAATTGATTCCTCGTTACAGCAGTACCAACTTCCCATACTAATTTTCGTAACCGCCTATTTCTGGTCACCCTTGTCATGACATTGTTGCGAATGTGACGAAGGCAAAACCGGCGTTTGACACGGCCCCCCCCTTTCAATTGTTGCACGGAATTAAACGCTGCATCGATTCCAGCGTGTCTATCCGAAATGATGCACATTGAATTGTGATGTGGAAAGACATGTTCGGCCAGAAGTCGAAGAAACCAAGTCCAACTGGCATTATTTTCGGAGTCAACGATTGAATATGCCAATGGATAGATTTCCTTGTTAGCGGTATATACACAGGCTAGTAGGAGATGGCCTTTGTACTGGTTGTACAAGTGGGTACCGTCAACACAAATAACAGGGATGCAGTAGAGGAAGCCATCAATTGCGGGCTTGAACGCCCAAAATGCATACAAGAAATTCGCGTATCCTGTACCCCTTTCTGCGTTCAGTGTGCACATGATTTCCACAATGGTTCCAGGGTTGGAGAGTTGCAATTGCCGGCAGAATTGGGGTAGCTCATTGTACGAGTGTTGGTAATTCCCGTACTGCATTTCAATGCATTTGTGTCTGGCATACCATGCTTTCCTGTACGAAATGTCCACACCATATCGTTGTCTCACATCCACTTGGATGTGTTTTATTTTGTACTGTGGATCCGCAGTGATCTTCTGAAAGATTAAATCGCATATTAATGAGCTGGTGCACAGTTTGTCCGCGGGCCCCGGGTTGTATTGAACTGTGCACTCGTGGGGTAGAAAGAACTTTGTGACCTGCCATTCAGAAGATGTCCTATGCAATTTCTTTGCGGATAATGTCCACAGACAATATGGTGTTGAGTTATAATGTGGACAAGAGACCTTCCAATTTGCCCTTTTTTTTGTGATTGGTGAAGTAGTCCCGCTTGTGATGCATATTGTAAGTTCCTACAGCTTTTTTAAGCGTCGGAAAATCCGGGAATACCATTCCGACCGCAATAACATTTGTGGAGGGGTCGTATGAAAGCGTTTCATCATCGTCCCTCTCAGTAAAGCCTTAGGTGAATGCAGTTGTTGGCGGTGGTATTGGGGAGTGGTAAGACGGGATAGCAGAATGTAACACCCCGTGTGACACCCCAAAAATCCACATTTAATCCATGGATTAATTGAGTAATTAATCCTATCTTAATTGAGGAATTAATTCCTAAAATCCTGATTTTTAATACTTGAGGACTAGTATTTGACTAGTCAATTTCAAAGTCATGTTGTACCTTGAGCTTTGAAGGGAGTTCCCTTGTTCCTTACACTTTCTAAATGTTAGTAAGGGCATTCTTGATCTTTCACCAAGTGTTAGTATTGTAACCTAACCTAGAAGACATCTTCATTTCATCCCTTACACTTTCTAAAACATTAGCTCTACATTCTCTCTAGAAAGGTGAGTAGATTTTCCTCCAAGCTAAGTTGAGACCTTGCCAAGATTCCAAGATTTGCTTCCAAGATTCAACCTTTCACCTATTTGGGCATCTAGGAGGGTAAGATCTAAGTCCATCTTTTGTTTTTGGTTCCATCTTAGTCTTTTTCTTAAAGTAGGATCTTTATGATCTTTTGGTTTGTTCTTGAAGTGGGTTTGGAAAGTAAGCCTTGTGGGGAGCTTGTTGAGGTGTAAAGTGAAGTCTTTGAGTCTACAAGAGGTAACCCATGCTCTACTAAAACCTATTTTGCTTACCTATATGTGATTTCTTGGATTCTACTTGTGTTTTGTTATGAAATGTGAGTGTTTATGCATTTGTCTTGTGAAAATGCATATCTAGAGTTTTTGTTTAGGATTCTTTTGTGCCATTGCTTGGCATTTTCCATGATTCAAGTCATTTTGTTGTATTGGGTGAGATTTGGCTTGTTTTGGACTTGAATTTGAGTTTGGAGATAAAAATTCGCGAAGTGTGTGGAAGTGGTACAGGTTGTATCCGCGGGCGGAACGGCGGGTAGGAGGCCCACTCGCGGGGTACATGGTTTGGGAGACCTGTACCCGCGGGCGGAACCGCGGGTAGGGGCCTACCCGCGGGTACGTATTGTAGTATGGTTGGGGATTTGTTCCCCGTGATTCTTTTGACTTGGTATTTGGTCCTTTGCCTTCCCAATGTTCTTTTGTGGAACTATTTGAGTGTCTTGATGTTTCGTATGTCTAGAACTATATGGTAGGTATCCATGTAGGACTTTGGTGTTTTGAATCGTGCTAAGTGTTCAACATTGTGTTTCGTTGGATCGTGAAGTGTCTTGTATGTTCCTCGGAACTATCTTTGGTTTCCCCGTTGATAAGCATGCTAGTTTGGTGTCTAAATGCTAGCGTGTGTGTTGTTTGTACCTTCCGATTGGTTGATGATAACTTGTGTTATTCATCGTTGTTGTTGTTGGGTTGTGACTCATTCCTTGATTGAGTATGTTTCATACCTTCGTTGCAATCCATTGATTGATTCCTGTTGAGGTGTGATGTGTGAGTGGCTTTACCTGGATTGCACGATTAGTGGTATGGGACACTAGTCACCAAGGTATTGCAGCGGTCCTCGTGGTGGCAGTGACGTGAATATGGAGTTGTGACCTGTGTGTCAGGTTCACGTATTTCTTGGGAAGGCGTGTGTCGCCGTGTGTGTGTACGGTACCTTGTGTACTATGAAATTGGTGGTCTTGTCGGAGGTCTGTTGGAGGGGGAACGACGGTTCCCTAGGGAATAAGGTTGGACTTGGTGTACATGGGTCCTGGAGGTAAAGGTTGGAACTAGATATAAGGTTGGGGGGTAGCCATAAGGTTGGAACCTGGCATAAGGAAGACATTTCAACTCGTGATGTGTGATGTCACGAGGGCTTGTGTAGCCGTGGTTGTGTGTCCTCTCTTGTGACGTGTGTAGTCACAAAGGCATGTGTTGCCATTTGTCGTGTCTATATCCTTGAGTTGTTGTTGTCCGTTGTGGTCTTGGGATGTGTTCCCGTGTTGTTTGTTGAGAGTGATGAGTCTTGAGTTGGTGTTTACTCTTGGTTTACACTTATATATATGTATTCCGTTTCGAAATAATTTTTGTATATGTATCCTATCTATGTATGATACTTAACAGGTATTGGTGGGTTACCAGCATTATCGCTGACCAGGCGTCGTCCCATGTTTATCTTTGTGTTCTTTCAGGTGATGTCTAGACGAGCGCGATGTCTAGTGGCCGGTAGTTTAGTGCCTTTATCCTTGCTTTGTGGCCTGTGAGCCGATGTAGTGTTAGACTTATGACTTTGGGATAGTTTTGTACACAATGCAGATTTGACCGCCGTAGCGTTTACCATTGTTGGTAAACGTGGCATAACACCCCTGTTTTGGATTTGTTTTATCCAGTTACCTTTTTATCTTCCGCTGTGCTAGTGTTTTGTTGTGTTATCTGCATGTGTTAAGGCCTTTTATATATAGCATGTTTGGGGGGTGTTACACCCCGTGTTACGACCCCTAAAACCGAACTAATTAATAATTACTTACCCTAAAAAGGGAATTAAAATCCATTAATTAGCTAAAAGGGGTCCACCATAGTCCATTGACCCTTATCCCTAAAACTAACCCCTTAGTCCTATAAGGAATAGAATTGGCAAGCCCATACCATTTAGACTCTAATTAGGACTCTTAGACATATAAATAGGGACATAAGAGGCACCTAGAACTCACACCACAATAACTTTCACCACACAAGAATTTCCAAGAATTCCCATAGGAGAAATCAAGAAAGAAGATATCTTAAAGAAAGACCCTTCATAGCCAAGGAATTTAATTAAGGCTAAGAGGTAACCCATGTCTCAACAAAACCTATTTTCCTTGCTATAATCTCCTTCTTTGGCTCCTTCTATATGCTTGTGTCTTGATGAATTCCTTTATGATAATTGTGATATAATCTTGATGATTGATGGGATGATTTTATGTGTGATCTTGATGTTGAAAAGAGGTTCTTGATATTTATGTGATAATTCTTGATAAATCTTGATGTTTCTTGATATTAAAGATAATATATGATTTTAATGATTTGGATGGGATTAGAGCCCTAGGTTGGATTGGGAATTTGTATTAAGATGCTTTTGATATATATTTGGGTGGGAATTCGCATGTTCGGGTGTTGTTTATGTTTAGAAGTCATATTATGATAAGTTCTACGTGATTCTTGCTTTTGATCCATTAATTGCCTACGTGGTGTCGTTATTTGCATTTAAAAGTGTTCAAGCATGGTTTCGGGTTCCACGGAGGGTCCCGGGACGTTTATTTTGATAAAGAGTCAGTGGGGGGTAGGGGAACCCGCTGCCCAAAAAGACGCCGCCGGCAGCGGGCAGCCAGCGGGCAGACGACTGCCCGCCCGCCGGGCACCCGCTGCCCAGAGGTTCATCGCTGGCGGGTGGCCCTCCACCCATCGGCAACCCGCTGGATTGTTGCCCACTTCGGGACTTTGGCTCCCCCGTTTGATGTTCCCCGATCCCCGTGGTGTCCCAACGGACCCCGTTTGTCGTGCATGAGTCTAGTTTGATGTTTCGGGTGCCATTCGTAGGATAGAAGAGTCTTAGGAATTGCATGCTAGTTGAATCGGTAACCCGTTGGCCTAGGTGGAAGATGGATGAACCCCTTAGGACTATTCTTAGTATGTGAATGATCACACGTAAGTTTATTTATACGTCTCCCCCTTCTCAATGTGCTACTACGTGCTACTATGTGTTATGTGATGCATGATACCCCAATTTGGTCGCGATCAAATTGGGTGTTCTTGAGCTGCGGTTCAGAAGTTAGCTGTGGTCAAATTGGTTACTTATGAGTTGCGGTTCATTCTCCTGGCTACGGTCAGTGATTCACTTCTTGGGCTGCGGTCCACATGGGCTTCGTGTGCTATGGTCCACCGACTGGACGCACCAGGCGGTGTGTAGGGCCACTAGCCCGAGGAAGGCCATAGCCCACCGAATGAGTGATCAGGCGGTGTGTAGGGCTACGGTCGGCTGCGATCCACCGAGTGTATGGGCCAGCGGTGTGTAGGGTCGTAGTCTCCGAAGATCATCGCCCACCGAATGAGTCCCTCAGGCAGTGTGTAGGGCTTGATCTACTACGACCCACCGACTGCGTTCGTCAAGCGGTGTGTAGGGTCGCAGTCCCCCGTAAAGAAGATCATAGTACACCGACTGAGCGCGTCAGCGGTGTGTAGGGCTATGATCCGCCGTTGAGTTCGTCGACGGTCTATACGGTTGGTTGCGATCAACCCCTTCATGCTGCGGTATGAGGTAAGGTGCTGCGGGGCCGTGTTAGTACTATATGTACTAACCTTCATGTTCGGGGCATGCGATTGGTCCCGTGGCGCCACCAAAGTGTGCTTGTGTGACTTAAATGATGATCGAATGATGATGTGAATGATTTGAAAGTGAATTGTGACCTTAGATACATGTTCTTTATGGTATCGTCTCTTTATAATTGTTTATCATTGTTTAATGTGCTTATCCCTATCTGTCGAGTCTATTCCGGGTTTTTAAAGCTAGAGTCTCCTAAGTATATATCTTCCAGCTTCAAAATGGTTTTCATATATA